TGGAAGCCAGTCGATGGATTGCCAGAGGAGGGTAGGGGATGGAAGCCAGCGGAGGGATTAGCAGAGGGGGGAAGGGGATGGAAGCCAGTGGAGGGATTGGTAGAGGGAGGTTGCAGACACTGAGCGGTTGGATAGGTGGATTAGTCTGCTGGCAGCATTCATGATAGGCTGAAGGGGGGGGATAGCCTGTGTTCAGGTACACCAATGGGGAGGAGGTTGCAATAGACAAGACGAGAGATAACAAGTGAGTGGTGTTGGTTATGTGTTTAGATGAAGCACTGAGATCTTGAGGAATGCGGAATTAGGTTTTACTTGCTTAGCAGGATCATTACATGTATGTATACAGCGAAACACTATATCGCTGAGTGTTTGTACATAATTGAGGATATGGTATGGTTACTATATCCTCAATTATGAATGAATGGGAAGTGATCTACATCACCTCCTTTACATTCATAGTTGTGGTTATAGTATACACACTCTGTACTCATGTTATGAATGAAGAGGAACACTCAGTATAGAGGATTCCTGTTCATTTACAACTTGGGCTGCAGAAAAAGAGATTGAGGACTCTGTGTTCTCAATCTCTTTTTCTATTTTAAAAAGGGAAAATATCAGTGGTCTGGTTTTTTTTTTATTTCGGTTTTGAAATTTTCATTTCGGTGCACCTCTAGGCCACACACAGGGCTGGCCTTTGGGGTGTTCGTGGCGCTGTGGCAACAAGGACGCCAGGAGGCTGACACAGCTCATCCTCGGGGGGACTACAGCCTGCCGCTTCTTTCCGCCTCACCGCTCGGCCATCCGACATGAGAGCACTCCCTCCTCCGTCCCCCCTTCAGCGCTGTCCTCGGATCCCCGCTGCCTGTATGGTCTGAGGCAGCGGGGGTTCTGAGGAGAAACTGTCCGTTGAAGCCTGTGGGGGGGAGGTTTGCAGGAGGGAGCGCTGGCTGCTGTCAGGATGGCCGAGCGGTGAGGAGGAGAGAAGCCGCAGCTTTCAGGTCGGCAGAGCGGAGCCGCTGTCATCCAGTCAATTTCAGGATGACAGCGGCTCTGTGCGTGGCTGAGCGGAGGATCGGTAAATATCAGTGATATTTACCGATCCTCTGTGTGTGTAGTACAGACACTGGAGTGATCGTCCGATCACTTCAGTGTTTGTAAATAACTGGGGACACATAGTGCTATGTGTCCCCAGTTATGAATGAACAGGATGGGATTTAAATCACTTCCTGTTCATTCATGAATTTCTGAATAGGGAAAAGCGCTCACTACAAAGTCCAAACAAGTGTTTTCCCTCGCAGGGGTCTTCAAACACAGTACAGCAAATAATGTTTGTCCAAGTCTCACCGACTACAGGTTGTCACACATACACCATGTGTAAACGGCTCTCTCGGCCTCCTCGGCTGTCTTCCTGTGCCTCTAGCACACACAGCCACCTGGCTCCCCTCTGCCTTCTGGGTGGAGTCCTCCTGACTCCTGAACATCCCTGTTCCTCTTCCCAGCTAGAGCCCAGAACACTAGCCAGCACACTTCCCATAAGCGCAATGCACAGGTGTGCAATCAGGTGCTGGTCACTACTAAACAATGGACCCAGGATTGGAGATCTCATCCCTCCCAGTTCTCTTAGAAATGTCCCAGTTCCAGGATCCCAGTTAGAATTTCAAAGCCAGCTCTTTCCTGGTAAACGTCAGGGGTCTGTAGGACCCCTAATATTTCCCTGAAGTCCCCCAACAGTAAAAATAATAATAATCAAAAAGAAAAATTAAAATTAAAAAAATGTAAACATTTTAAAAAAGTGAAAATGACCCCACCACATTAGTTCCTGCTCAGGTCTGGTTTCTAGAGCATTAATAAGAGCACTGTATGAATCTGGAAGGCTGCATAGCAGTAATGCCACCACGCAGTTATCTTTAATTTCCTCTCCAATTGCACGTAGCTGTTCTACAGCATGGCATTCACATGTTCACGCATTTCCTGGCCTTTTTGTAGCCTCATCTTATATAGCTTGCATAGCAGATATAGTTTACTGTTTAGATTTGAATGCTCATGCAGTTTCTGTAATGCAGCCTACATACCTTTAGCTGTTTTCTCTCTTCTGATGTGGATGAGCTGGTCATCTTCCACTAGAAGACTTATAATTGCTTTTGCTTGCCTGTTCTTCTTGTCCCATTCCCCCGCTGGTCCATTACTGGGTCTTTCTGTACTCAGTACTTTCCACAAGTCGTCTTTGTTTAGCAGCATTTCAAGCTTGAACTTCCATAGCTGGTAGTTGGTATTGTTGAGCTTTGAGATTGAAAACTTCATATCTGAACT